GTGTATGATGTCGTCCGCGCGCCGGACTGGAGTTGTGACAGGCAGCCCGTGCCACAGACAGCTACGCTCTACCCCTTCTATTTGTTCGGCTAGCTAATCTGAATCGTTCAATTCTGTTTCGAGAGCAAGATCATCTGTGGTAGTAGCACTAGACATCTTCCAGACATGTGAGTAAAACTAGCAGCAGTTCAGCGGACAGGATGAACTAATGGTAGCCGGCGCCCGCGGAATACATTATGAACAATTCAGTTTGTGTCTTCAAGTCGTTGCCCATAGAAAGACGTTACTTGGATATAACCTAACGGAATATCTTCAGAACAGCTCCAAATGACACAGAACTAACATGGGTGAGCACAACATGATGTAATAATGTAAAATCAAGGGGCCAATGTAAAAAAAAAAAAAAAACGGCGTTCCCCTTTAAGTTCTTGTATCAGCATTAATGGTTTATGTTGTAACCAATTAAACCCATTAAATTAAGTGTTTTTAATGAATTTCTTGTTGAAGCGATCTCTTTTAACCATCACAGGGTGAGTAACTGTTTTAGGTCTTGAAGGGAGTGTTGGCCTAGTGGTCTCTCTCACCAGTGGCATCCTCCTGCTCATCCTGGAATATTAAATGGCTTCTCAGCCAATACTGATATATAGTCCCTCTAGCAGGTTCTGGGTCCTCTGTTGTGCAGGAGAGACTTACTGACAACCCAGAAGGGATTATAGATTAAGAAATGTAACAACTATGCTTTGCTGCTTGTAGTACATCAGACACTTCTATAGAAGGGGTGAGTGTCGGCCTAGTGGTTAGAGTAGTGCACTTGTACTCTGAGAAGGTTGCAAGTACTCAGTTCGATCTCCACAGCCTGCACTCTGGGTCCCTGAGCAAGATCCTTAACCCTGCACTGCTCCCCGGGCACTGCACAAAGGCAGCCCACTGTTCCCCAAAGGGGATGGGTTAAATGCAGAGTTAATTTCTCCATTGTGAGATCAATACTGTTCAATTTCTATCCTTTTCTTTCTGTTATGTTAATGTTGTTTTTGTTTTTTTGCCTTAAAAATACGTTTCTTCATTTAAAAAAATAACGTTCTTGTTCTGTCCTCCAATAACACTCTTAACCTGAAATGTTAAATTTCAAAGTATTTCACTGGGTGTTAACAGAGAGAAAAACATTAGGATGATACAGAGCAGAGACTGAGTGCCAGAGCTATGACCTCACAGATGCAATACTGGAAAGATTAGTAAGAAATTCCCATAAAGATGTTCCTAAAGCCTGTGAACGAGCTTCCCAAAAGAGGTGAAGCTGCTATAGCTGCAAAGGGTGGACCAACGTCATAGTGAACCTAATTGATAGGGAATGCAATGTTAAGTGTACATATGAGTCATAGCAGATTGGCAAATCATTTTTGGCAATGAATTTCCATAATTTTACCTCTTACTGTTTTTTTTCCAGACCATGACTGACTTTGACTACCTGAAGCTGCTGGGCAAAGGAACGTTTGGAAAAGTGATCCTGGTTAGAGAGAAAGCCACGGGGATGTACTACGCCATGAAAATCCTCCGCAAAGAAGTCATCATTGCTAAAGTAAATCCTTTCACATTAAGCCCTTCAGTTCAAACTGTGTCATAGCAAGCAATGTGTTTGTCTTTGACTACGTGGACTAAAAGTGATTGTGTGTGTGTGTGTAGGATGAGGTGGCACACACAGTTACAGAGAGCAGAGTTCTCCAAAACACACGGCATCCCTTTCTAACGGTGGGTTTCCTATATTTGTGTTGTTTTAATGTGATGCTCTGTTTTGTCCTCATAAACGAGTCAAATATTTCCCTCTGTTCTTCAGACACTAAAATATGCATTTCAAACACACGACCGGCTATGCTTTGTGATGGAGTATGCAAATGGAGGAGAAGTAAGGCTTTCTTTTCTGCTCTCCACTTTTGTAATTATTGCTTTATTTTACTGCTTAGCGGTTGAAACTGAAAGTATCATCAACTTATAGTTTACTGCTTATGCTGTAAAGATTAAGGCAAATATTATTTGTGTTTGTAAGTTGGAGAAAAAGCTGTTAAATGTGAATTTGAAACTTGGCCTGTACAAATATTTTATTCCACCTGTTATTTCTCTTGTAGCTCTTCTTTCATTTATCCCGGGAAAGAGTATTCACAGAAGATAGGGCACGATTCTACGGTGCAGAAATAGTATCTGCACTGGAGTATCTACACTCACGCAATGTCGTTTACAGGGACTTAAAGGTAAATTTTCTTATTTAAAGGTCATGCATGTTTTGGTAAATAAATGTCACCTATTCTCACCATGTAACACCACAACATTCTTAGCTTAAATTCAGCTGATTCCTATTTCAATTTGAAGTTTTTACATCTTCTGGGTTGAAAAAATAATCTGCTTTTTATGAGAGATGCCGCAATATGTCAAGCAGAGATCTAAACACAACTGGGGTTGGATTTTCTCACATGCATCAAAACGGAGAGTCCCACTGGTTTACATCAAATAACTGGGATTTACTGTGATTAATAATTCCTTGACATAATCTTCCAATAGAATAACCATTAACTGAAGCATAATGACTCCAAAATGTACCGTTTGCTGAAAGAACAACCCACTCGGAGCAGTAATTAAACTCAAAGTGGATAACAAATTACCGATTTGCTTTCAAAATGTAAAAAGCCTTTTGTTTTTAAATATCCTCTATCCAAAACCCAAGTGGAGAGTTTTAGCTTCAACATGTTTGAATGCTTTTTGTATTCTCCTATAAAGCTTCTTTTTCTCTTGTTTTAGTCCTGATAAACACAGAAGCTCATAGATTTGTTTTTGTATATAAAACACACTTTCATATACAATGCTGTTTTTTGAGGGTTTTTTTTTTTGTTTGTTTAGCAAAACCTTTATAATATGTGGACCAATATATATAATTATATATATTTGATGAGGACCAATTCTTTCTATACAGGGATAATCTTGCATCTATTTTCTGATAAAACCAAAGAACCTGTTGCAGGTCTTATGTGTTGACATTCCTTAGAGCAGCGGTCCCCAACCTTTTTTGCGCCACAGACCGGTTATATGTTAGGCAATATTTTCACGGACCGGCCTTTAAAGTGTGGAGGGTAAATACGATCAAATAAAATGATACGACTGGCATAAAATCAAATACAAACAGCATAAAAATAAAACTCACCATTATGTTGAGTTTGTGGGATCCCTGAGCTTGTTTCTCCTAAACAAGCCGGTCCAATCTAGGCGTAATCGGAGACAATGACACACGAAGTGTGCTCATAATGTCCTGTCTGCTCCGTAGCTTTGTTTTGGTCACTGTAACCACAGAAAATCCTGCTTGTGCGGCCCGGTAACAAATGACCGACAGACCGGTACAGGTCCGCGGCCCGGTGGTTGGGGACTGCTGCCTTAGAGAATCAAATCGGAATTGGACCAATTTCTAAACAGTGTTTAATACAGTACGGACATTTAATGCATCTCTAGTTTTTAGTTCGGCCATAAAGTTCAAGTGATTCATTTGAATTTTTGCATTTGCAGCTGGAGAATCTGATGTTGGACAAAGACGGCCATATAAAGATAACAGACTTTGGGCTGTGTAAGGAGGGAATCACAGCCCGCGACACAATGAAGACGTTCTGTGGAACCCCCGAGTACCTGGCACCAGAGGTGAGGCCATTTTGATTCTGGATATCAGTCTAGAAAACACAACGGCTGTGTCTGAATGTCCGCCCTAACCCCTATCCCTCACTATATAGAGCAGGAACTATATAGTGGACTTTATATTGAACTCAGTTAACTGACCGTGCATACAGATCATCACTATTTTTCTCTTCCCATTGGTCACGTGACTCCGCCTCCCTGCACGGTGAAAATGCCATCTTTGTTATTAGTCGCCGCTGTCACTACCTGACACTGTCACAACGAATCACCTGATGTTTTGCAAGTAGCATTCTGGGATATATCTGCTCATCTAGTAACCATAGATGATCACTACTTTTCAAGGTGCATTGTAGGAAATTTCGAGTCCACTACTGTTTCATACACTAGACGTTCGGGCACTCATCTAAAATGGCCTAATCACTATATAGTACCCTATATAGTGATCAGGGCGAATGTTCTTGTTTAAACATTTAACCCCGAAATCCCTCTTTCACTATATAGAGCAGGGACTATATAATGGACTTTATGGTGAACTCAGTTGGTCATGTGACTCCGCCTCCCCAGCACAGTGAATGCACCATCTTTGTTAATTGCTGCTGTATTTACAATTCCTCTAACGCTTTGCAAGTTGAGCTCTCACAAAGCATTCTGGGATATATCTGGTCACCATGGATGATCACTACTTTTCTAGGTGAATTGTGGGAAATTTTTAGTCCGCTACTTTTTCATCCACTAGATGTTCGGACACTCCTCTAAAATGGCGTAACCTACATAGTGCCCTATATAGTGATTGGGGTGGATGTTTGGACACAGCCTAAGTGTCCTTTTGTTTGTGTAACTCAATCTGAAAAATATACATTTGGGGGGAATAAAGAAAAAAATTTAAAGTTAAAATAAAACGTTGAAAAAATAAATTTGCAAACCTAAAATCTTCAAAAAATAAATAAAAATACAATGAAAAATTATTTATTTTATAATTTGAAAAACATTTGGAAAAAATAAAAAATACTCCAGATTTAAAGTACTTTTATTTTGCAACATATCCTTCATATCTGCATGGTTATCTTTCACACCCAGATCTGCATTTTTTGCTCTTTAACCTTTTGCAAAATGATATTTAGAATGTCAGAACAAAAGGTCTTCATGGCTAGTTCCTTTTTTTCCTTTTGCATTTGAATGTTCCTTTTTCGGCTCTCCTTCAGGTACTGGAGGACAATGACTATGGACGTGCAGTGGACTGGTGGGGACTGGGAGTGGTGATGTATGAGATGATGTGCGGCCGGTTGCCGTTCTACAACCAGGACCATGAGCGCCTGTTTGAGCTAATCCTCATGGAGGACATCCGCTTCCCTAAGAACCTGGCACCAGAGGGCAAGGACCTGCTGGCAGGCCTGCTGAAAAAAGATCCAAAACAAAGGTAGAGCATCTGACTCTAGCTTTAACTCATAACTATTAGTAAATTAAACTAGTATTTGCTAGTAAATTAAGGAGAAAGGGTTAAGTGCAGCAGTAAAGTGCTGCCACTTGCTTTCAGGGGAGCAAAACCTGCACTGGAAAAAAGCAATCTAGAAATAAGTAAAAATGTCTTAAATTAAGTATATTTACCCTTAATTTGAGTAGGTAAATGAGATAGTTTGCCAATGGAATGAATATTTTTACTCTTAAAATAAGATTATTAGATAACAAGTACTTGAAATAAGACGATGCATTTGCGTTTTCTTATTTTAAATGTAAATTGTCTTGTTCCATTGGCAAAATGTCTCTTTTACCTCCTCAATCCCAGAACAAATACATTTATTGTAACAATAAATGACTTATCTAGATTTCGATTTTTTCCAGTGTGGTAGTTACTGGTCTAACGTCCCCTAGTGGCTAAAAGTTAGTGTTTTAAATTTGAATGTAAGAAAATCCTCAGTAACCTTTTTCTACTCAACAGGAAATCTTGATAAGTTTATGAGTTTAAGCTTGGAGATTAGTGAAACAATATGCTGGGTATAGTCAACCAATACAGAGCATGTAAAAATCCTGACATAACCTTCTACCTACCAGAACCATTTAGTGGGTTAGAAATCTAGCCTTGTAATGTGGTTTGACCCTGTTTGAAATGGCCCCAGTAAACAATGCTGGTTCCTGGAACAGGTTCCTGCAGAGGAAACCAGCTCCAGTAGCTGTCTGCACTTGTTTCAGTTTCACTGTTGTCCATTTAACCGCACCTTATTTGTTTGTACTAACCTCACTTTTTATTAATACATTTCCTCTGCATCGTCATACTGTACTAAGTCCATTGATTAACTGTGCCACTGTGTTTTTGGTGTAATAAAAAAGCTGGCCTATCTATCTATTTTTTTTTATCTAGTCTGATTCTGCAGTTTCTTTTTTAGTTCCGCTGTTTCAGAAGGTTTAAATGTTTGCGTTAAAATCAGCAGTTTCAAACTGTTTCAACTGAACAAAATTAGATGTGCTATTATTCCATCTCTGTTTTTTATCTATCTGCTGAAAGATGTGCTTCCTAAAGATGAAGCTGTAAAACTCAAGAAAAGGTCATTACCTGGGTTTGACACGTAATGGTTTGCTTAGTGTGCTCTGCAGTACAGCCATAAACAGAGTAATAATGTTATTGAAGCCCATGTTCCTCCCTGATTGTCTTTGGTTCTCGGTAATAGTCTTAAACAGGGACATAATTGATTGTTGTTTTGTTCAAGACCCTGAGTTTTTTCTGCCAATCACAGAAGTACTGCTAATATTAGCACACTGAGATGAGCTTGCAGGCTAACTAACAAAACAAACACTAAATTTGTTTTGAAACCAGTCAGCGTTGCTGGGTGCTTCGTTCTGATAACTGCGTTTGCGTGTTTATTTATAGCCAGGTGGCGATGACGGTAATTTTGTTTTCTGTTAACAGGCTTGGAGGTGGACCAGATGATGCCAAAGAAGTAATGACCCACAAGTTCTTTGCCACCATAAACTGGCAGGACATCCTTGAAAAAAAAGTGAGAGAAAGAGATAAAAATCAAATCCATGATGTGATGTTTAACAGGATGAGCTGTTCTTAAAGTGATTTGGTTTGTGTATCTTCTCAGCTTATTCCACCCTTTAAGCCCAAAGTAACATCGGAAACCGACACCCGTTACTTCGACGATGAGTTCACAGCACAATCTATTACAATAACTCCTCCAGACAAGTGTAAGCAGACTAACTTTGATTACCATCTTTCTGTGCAACTCTGAACTTTTTCAGCTGTTTTAACTCCATTTCTCCCCCTCTCTCCACTTTCCCTCCAGATGACAGCTTAGATGTTGAGGATTCAGATCAGCGTACACACTTCCCTCAGTTTTCCTACTCTGCCAGCGTACGGGAATGATCACTAAGACTCGTGAACAAGCAGGCAGGCTGGCACACAATCCTAACCCCTCATGCACCCTTGCACTGCTGAGGAATTAAAATGACACAAAACAAAAAAGGTGGCACAAGGCACATTTTTCATTCAGTCTTTGACACACGCATCCTCACCGTTACAGGTTAATCATTGAAAGAAAGTTAAAAAAAAAAAGTAGCTTAAAATAAAGTAGGAAGTGAACATACAGACCATGCGTGACGGAGCTCAGCTGGTTTGTTTTAATAGACTGGCAGCTTTGTCTCTGCATGTCCTGTTTGGGTCAGCGTCAGGCTTCCCTGCTGGACCTCTGCAACACCACATCAAAGCCTTTACACTTAAAAAAAAAACAGGTAATGCCAGCAAGTCCCACATCTTTACCAGCTTAACCCAAGGTTACCAAACACAGATACGCACAACAAATGACCCACAGGTAGAATTTCCTAATTTCATCCGAATTAGAGAAAAAAAAAATTCAAAACATTTGGGAGGAAAACCGACAATTTATTGTTTCATCAGTTGCGGTTTTAAATGTAAAGCCATATTTCAAATTTTTTATTTTATTTTTTTGATTTAAGACAAAAAAAATAACAAGTGCTCTTTCTGGAACTTGCTGTTACAAATCAAGTGTAGGGTTTCCCTACTGTTGGAGGGGCAAGGGGTGAGCCATGGAGAGTTATGGTGATTGCACTGCACAGGGTGTTCATGCCAATGCACGAGAGGATTCGAATGCATGCGTGTGCAGAGAGAGCGCAAGAGAACGAGTTTTTAATCTTCAGCCATCCATTTGTGTCGTTTTTTTCTTTTTCTTTTAATATGCATGTTTTTAAACTAAAAATTTGCTGGAACACAGGCGAGAGGGAGAGGACACTACACAACATCAAGGGGGCTGTTTTCATTGTGAAACCTTGTAGTTTACGATTGCTGTCCTGATTTGCTGGCTGGTAATTTGACTCAAGATGACAAAAATCCAATGCATGGCTTACTGTTGCTGTCGAAGCTGCATTATTTGATGCAATGCAGCATTCATTCACGTGGAGACCAGGTTGGTAAACGCAGATTCCAGTTAGTCTTTGGTTTCTGTAGAGAAATCGGATCCAGTCTAGTCTCTCCGTGTGTACATATTTATACAGACTGAATAAAACTGAATAGCAGACGATACTCCTGACCCAGTTTTCCTGGACCTGTCCAGAAGTATCTACTGTTTTACGCCTTTACTATTTCCTCAGTTCTGTAAACTTTCCTCCCTGGCTGAAATGGATCAGCAGCAACGTCTTGTTCTTTTTAAAATATCATTGCAAACTATTAGAGTATTTTTCAAATTAGCTTTTATTTGGCTCCCAGTTTGAAAATCTAAAAAATAAAAAGTGTGCTTTTAAAAGTAAAAGTAACTTATTGGACATTTACTGCTTGAATTCATTCTATGTTTAATGTTTTGAGACTGATTTGTTTCTCTAAGTGTCCAAGCACTTAAACGTTTAAAGGTTGAATGTTTGAAGCAAGTTGAGTGTGACCCGTTGGATCCAGGCTTTTAGCTAGCAATGCGTTTGGCTGTACATTGTACACCCTTTACAAAAAAAAAAGAAAAAAAAGACAAATTATAAGCCCTGTTTTTGTGATGTGCGGCCTTGGTACACCCTCATTTTCCCACCGGAAACTTTGCTCAAAATTTCACAAGCAGCAGATACTGGAGTTGGAAAAACTAAATTTTTGCTGCTCTTGGCGCCACATCAACCAATCACAAAAGATGATCTACGAGCCGATGGGGAGACGGACAGCGCTGCTGATGCAGAGCGTTGTGATCACTCCACTGAAACTGTTTATCAACACCTAAATTAACTCAAAACCTTCCAGCAAAATATGTTCGTTTTTATTACTCTGGTGCCTGCCGTTTGTACCATATACCTAAAAAATGCTAACATCTACTTCCAGCCACCACGAATAGTAGGGAGAAACCCCCAAGAAGTGAGCTGGCCTGAGGTAGCTGCTGCTGGGGATTCCCAGTGACAGCGCACCGCTGATATGTGGGAGTCTGCGTGCCTCCGACAGCGAATAATATTTGAAGGCAGGACCGTAATCTTGATGAACTGACTGTACAGACGATGTTTGAGGTGAATTTTCTCACATAAAAATATATTAAAACTACATTTTACCCACTGATCACAGCAAATATAGAAAAGCCGGCCTCTGCCATTGAACACAAGGAGCAGCAGAAACATCAGATACATCTGAACACACTTTTTGCTGGACACGTCTGAGCTGTGTACTACCATCAAAAATGAAGCAGCACGCGCTTTTTTGCTGCTTAAATCGCAGCGAGAATGTAGCATAACTCTTTCTGATTTTTTTTAATTAACCTTTGAAACATAATATTGTACCTAAAATGATCTCATGTCTTCCTTATGAAACTTCCACCTCTACTCAAGCAAATATACTTCCCATAATCTGGACAAAGACAAAAAATTAGCTGCATTCCACCTCAAAATGCAGGAAATGGCATTTCAGAGTCTAAATTTAAAAATTTTCCAGGAGAGGATTCCCCTACGGCACACAAAGCCTAAAGATGTGATACTCAAAGGTGTACGCCCTATGAAATATTCCTAGCTAAAAGCCTGGTTGGACCTGCCTTTAACCCGACTGCTGAGAGGAGGAGCTACTCAAACATCAGCTTGTTTAATTTGAACAGAAAACCTGCATCCTTTTAGTCATGGAGGCACATGATTAAGAGAAGCTGTGGGCAGCTTTTGAACAGTGCTCGAACTGACAGGAAAAATATTTTTTTTGTGATGCTGGAAGCGATCTCACTTCATTCTTCTAATGAAAAATGGACATCGAAACATTTCTTTTCTGTTTCCTGTTTGTTTTGAGATTTTTTTTTCCTATTTTCTGTCCATCTATTTCTCAAATTCTGGAAAATAGATTGTCTCGTTCTGAGTCCATTATATTAAATATGAATATATTAAAGTTTTTTTTGAACTGCTTTCTTTATGTTTTTCTTGTTTTTATTTAAGTTTTTAATGCCAAAGGGATTCCATTAGAGAATTGCTATTTTAGCTCCACTTTTATCCCAAAAAACCTTTAAGAATCTACATTTAAATGGAGAGATTTTATAAACAGACCTATATTTTAACAGCCCCTTATTTCTTGATAGTATTTGGATGAAGAACAGGTCATTTTTAACCTAAAGAATAATGGAGGGTGAAACTTCCTCCATTTACTACTGATGGTGTTAGAGTTTTAGTAATAACAAATGAGCATTCTTCAGGATATCCCTCTTGTCATCAGATTAATTTAAGTTTAATATTATTTTAGTTTATTTTGCCTGTTTGTGCATGATTTTAAGTTTGTGTGCTTGGTAGAGTGAAAGAGAATGCCTGTTCAGATGCTTGGGTGAAAGTAGGGATTTCAAATAGGAAAAAGCAGCGTTTTATTTCAACACAGCAGTGACCACTGAGTGGCCTCAGTTCCTGCAGACAATACCGTGATCAAATGGCTTTGATTTACGCTGAAACAACTCCAGCACCTCTTCTCACTGGCTCAGGCACAGTCATCATACTCTGTCGTGGAGTCCTGCTTCAGCAGGGTCCCGTATCAGAACCATTGCACTGATGGACTCCACTGTGGATCTGCCTTCATTGCTATCATGGCCACAGGGGGATGCTGCCGGACTCTTTTAAACTTGGCGGTGAAGCCATAGATCGAACCTCTCTGTCGGCCACGCTTTAAGCAATGTTTCACAGCTGAACATGCAAGTGAACACCCCTGACCTCTCCTGTAGGCATACACTGGCACAACAAGTGCCTCTTCATTATGTAAATACCAAAAAAAAAGAAAAAGGAGCTTATTGGTGAATGCATCATTAGTAGAAGGGGAGGCCTGTAGCTTAGTAGTGTTTGATTTGCAGCTTTACCACAGTTCACATGTTTCTCTGTATATTTGAATGTGATCAATGGTCAGGAATGTCATACCTGATTCTTGTTACAGAGACTTTTCTTTTTCTTCCCCTCCTTTTATTTTCGATTGATGCTCAGAGGGCAATGAAAAAAAAGCAATCTTTAAAGGGAGGACTCTGTCCTAGCTGGAATTTCCACCTCTTACAAGACTTTACAGTGTAACGGGTGATACCTGCTACAGTATGGTAGCTTATATTTGCAACTATAATGTGCCAGTAAACCTTTTTACTGATCAAAACTGTGTGTTTGTCTTTCATGCTTTGCTTTATATATTCACTTATATTCTACATAACCACATCATTTCAGTGTATCAGGTATTGTTTACATCCAAACAACTTTATTTCCTCTAGATTTTTTCTTAATAGATGGGAGAACAGTTACCTTAGAAATGTAAAAATCTCATAACAGTTTCTAAAATTCAACCCTTTTCTTGTTTGTTTTGTATGTTTTTTTAACATTGGTTAATATTAAAACGGACCATGTTTAAGCTTCTATCCGCTTCTTAAAAAAATTGTTTATTGTAGTCATGTTTTTACAAAAACAGGTTTTCCGCATCATTAAAAATCATTAAAAGAGATATTTTTTAAATTAAGACCTTGATTGGCATTAAAATTAATTAGATGTGATTATTGTGGCATTTAAAATGCTTTATTTAAAAAAAAAATGTTTATGAAAGCAATTTCGTCAGATACATCCCAATAATATATTTGTGCAGAACTGTTGTGGTTTTTCGTAAAGCTGTATGTTCAGAAAAGAAGATCGGTGGCGGCGAAAAAGCTAGAGAAACGAGGGGAAAATGCAAATTTCAACAAAAGTGGCTGGAAAACGAGGAATTCGAAACATGGCTATAGCCTGTCGACAGTAAAGATGAAGGATTTTGCCATCATGGGTACTTGTTGATGGCATTAAAATGAATTCTAAGAGCATTAAAAGAGCATTAAATTACAGTTACTCATTCCTGTATTAACCCTGAAAAACAAAGGATAAAGAAAATGACTAAATTATTGGTAGCTTATGGTAGACAAACCAATAGGTGGTGCAATTTCATATCCAGACAAAATTCAAGGACAGTCTGCCAGACGGAAGTGGGTAGAAAACCCACTAATTGCACTCAAGAGTAAAAAGTATCTGATAAAAAGGCTACTCCAGTAGCCCACTGAGTAACTGATCATAACATCTTATATTTAAGATGAAAGATGGACCAAAATGTAAAGCTGTGTGCTAGTTTAGATATTTAACTGATAATATAATAAATACAAAAGCGTGTAATTGAAAATTATTCCAGGCAAAAGAGACACTTTTCCAAATAAATTTTCTTTTTAACATAAAACATGAAACCAGCACTTTACTTTGTATATCAGCTTGGCCTCCGTCTGTCTATGTAGGTTAAGGTACTTGTGTACAAAAAAAATGATGAGCATTAATTTACGGAGAGGGATTAGGGACCCTGAAGAAATTTCAAAAAGTTGACTGATTTTTAAATTTTATTTCAGTTTAATATGGGAAAAAAGTCAGAATTCTGACTTTAACCTCAGAATTTTGGATCTTAATGTAGATGGGCACCATGAAGAAAGAGTGTTAGAGCATGCAGCTTCACTGACAAAGAAGTGAGTTGTTTGGGAGGACACATTGGTGGAAAATGATGCAATTAGCCAACTTTTTACGTGCCCGAGGGGGTCCCCGGTGATGCAATATAATTAATGGAAGAGAGGAAGGTCTTTAAAACAAGAGAGCTAATCTCTAAAACAGACATAGCTACAGCTTGACGCTAACATGTTTGTTAGCTGCCAAAAAACAGTCAGAATTCTGAGGTTAAAGTTAGAATTATAAGAAAAAAAGTCAGAATTCTGACTTTTTTGTCATACTGAAATAAAATTTAAACATCAGTTACTTTAAACAAAATAATTGAATGGCCCTAATCCTCTTCCGTATTAATTCCGGGTCATCCTGTGGATTTTTTTTTTTTTTTTTTTAATAAGATTTGTTTTTCAGTCAAGGCACTCATAATGGATGGCAAAGCCAAACATTTTACTTAAGTAAGAGTAGTGATATTTTATTAAGATCTAAAAGTAAAAAGTATGCTACAATAAAACTACCTCAAAGTAAGATTTTGATCCAAAAATTACTCCAAATATTACTGGTTAATACCTCTGCTGCTGGATGACCTGTTCTCAGACCACTTACATCAACTCGTCTTCATATCCAGTAAATAAATTATTTGTGATCAATAACATTTATATTTATTTATTTATTGGTATTAAAATGTGTAAACACTATAGTGTCAATCAGAATGGATGGCAAGTAGCAAATATGCAGAATGATGCTTTCAAATAATCGTATGAATCCTATACTTGGACCAGAACATCTGGGTTTTATAAAGAATTTTACTCTAAATGCTCTGAAATTAAAATGTACATATCTGAGTGATTTTTCTTCAGCTTCTTTCGTGTTTTTTCCGCCAAGTGATTCTAAAAATAATCCGCACTTTTCTCAAAACTGATCTATACTGAAGATGCAAAGAACAAATGTTATATTTAGGACGAATTAAAGTTAATTAAAATATATTAATGCTTACTGTAAAAGAGAAGCGCTGCACTTCAAACAAATAGTGATAAATCATTTATTTCGTCGCGCGCATTGATCAAGATGAGCGTCCGCCGGAAGTTTAAAACTGCCCACCTTTGCGTCAGATGCAATCAGTGTTTCCCAGCTGTGTTTATTAGCGTGGTCCATGGCAGCATGGCTCCTATGTCCCCCCTATGCCTCCGCTGAAGCCCGCGGTAAGTAGCTGCAGAGGCCCCTGCACCAGATCTCTGCCCCCGGCTATCACCATGGCCAGGAGCGGGTTCTGCGACTCCAAGCCACTGCTGGACTTGCACAAAAAGGTGAGCTGAGTGTGATCAGTGATCACCATTAGTCAATCAATCATAACATGGTAAAGGTAACATGGTTTTACCTTATGACCTAAAAACTTTGTGATCTTTACCTGTAAGAAAAGGAAATAAAAACTCATATTTTTAAGCCTTGCAGTCCTCTCACTCAGGCCCATTTGAGCTTAATTTATATGGTTTCATTTGTCTTTGTTTTGATGAATTAATTTAAACTTTTTTGTGTGTGAGAGAGAAGTTTTATTTGGTTGATTCAGTGGCTGATCTAGAAAATTGGGCCAAAGGAAGAACAAAAACTGTAGAAGCGGGTGGCAAAGCTGGACATATCCATAAAAATATGATAGAAATCTCATATGTAAATGGAGTCAACAAATATTAAAAGAAAACACTTGAAAAATGTCTTATTTTACAGAAAGAATACATGCATAACAACAGCAGACAAATTCAGAAATATAACTTTAAATACTTCATGGATTTTAGCAATTAGTTTTAGAAGAGTTTAGATGATTGTTGTGCTGGACAGCAAAAAGTCTCACAAAGGGACCCGACTAAAGCAGCAGTTTGGAAAATATTTCCAATTTCTGCAGACCGCTTGGTTTATGCAAAAGATGCAAGGATGCAGGCACTGAGAAATGTACATCAGCATGAATGAACAGAGACAATCTGTTGCCCCCCTAGGCAGATGAGAGGAGGGCCCCACTACGAACTTGGGCGAATGCCTGTGGGTCTATAGATCGCTGTCAGCCTGTAGAAGAAGAGTCCAGGACGGCCCCGGTCAAACTGGAGCCAGAGCACAGATGGGTAGGCCTTCTGTCCTGTGTACCACCTTCATCCTAAAGCTCTTTTGTTCCCAAACTCATAGTCTTTGCTTTTAAACCATCTTTGTGATCTAACCAGCCCAACTTCTAGTCCTCCTAGCTGTGATGTCCATGCTCTTCATTCCCAACAGGAACGAAGGCTATCAGCACAAACCAGTGAAAGCATCCTAATGGGTTTCCATGAAGACAGCAGGACATGCATGGCTGGTAGAGTGTTCAAATTTTCATTTTGAATAGTTTATTTTTTATCTTAGAAATATAAACTTTTGATAAACTACATATAGTGTCTGGGTTAAATAGATGAAGGCCATGACATAAAAACCTAGTTTCAAATGTGTAATTCCCATCATCAAATTCAACTGAAAGAAAAATTAAAAATGTATTAATTTCCGTTGAGGTTAGATTTCGAATACAAAAATTATGCTGTATGTTTTTAATGAGTTTTTCTTCATATGCAGTGGAGGGCTGTGTAGAGGCTCCAGTGCTGCTATACCCTCATGGCCTGCAAGGACTTCACAGCCTCCATGCTCTGGTTCCCAGTTTACTGAGACTCGAAGTAGAGACGGCGCTTGAGAAACTGGGCCTGTCGGATCGAACGTATGCCTGGGAGGTGTTCTTGGATATGATGGTGAGCAAGTCATTCCCTGGGGAAGGAGGATGGACATCCACGAATCAACATCTGCTTTGTTAAATTTTTTAAATATGTTTTATTTTCTGATTTTAGAAAACTCAAATGCGAAACTCCCTCCCCAGTGCTGATCTTTCCCGCCACTTCACTGATGCCACTCGAGCGATCCTGGTAGACTGGATCATTCGGGTCCATGTGAGCGTTCAAAAGCTTTCCAAATTACACCTGTAACTGGTATCCTGAAACAGAAACATAACTTTAATAACTAACTTTGCCACTGAGTTTCTGTAGGGAAAGGGAAGGATTTTGATTCTTAGCTTTAAGATGGTAATAAACCTCAAAATTCTGACTTCTATTGAATTTTCTTAATTATCCCAGCTTCAAATTTCAAAGTCTGAAGTTTAGTTAAAAAAACAGATTTCCTTAAAATGTAAGAGGATTTTATATATTTTTGATTGAATAAATATGATTTTAAAAGAGTCCAGTTTTAATGTGCTCTTAAATATGGCAGTAACCTTTTCTCCAACTCATTGAAGTTGTAGATGTGAGAACCACTGATTTAAATATGCAAATTAATGCAGGGGGAATACATCATGGCTGATCTGTTAATTATAAGGGCAATATATTTACTTTCTGTCAGGAGTTGCTGCAGTTCCAGGAAGAGACCCTCTATCTGGCAGTACACCTCCTCAACCGCTCCCTTCGACAGCTGAAGGTGACCACAGCCAACCTGCAGCTCCTTGGCATAATTTGCCTCTTCCTTGCCGCAAAGAAAGAGGAGAGCCTCCTCCCAGATGTATGCTGACTCGCTCCTGTCCAGCTATAGGGCTGTAGTTGCTAACATTTTTAAATGTGCAATTAATTGGTTAAAAATTGTGACAGGTGGAACCAACATGGCATATTTCATGAACAGTTGGTAGCTTTTGTTTTAAAGCTTCCTCTTGTCCAGGTGGCTGGACTCTGCAGCCTGATGGACCACACCTACACAAAACGTCAGCTTCTGCGGATGGAACGCAAAGTTCTGTGTGCGCTCAACTTTGAGGTCTCCCACTGTCCCCCGCTGCACTTCCTCCTCCTGTTTGCCTCTGTGGCTCGCTGTAGTGCTACGGTAAATCCTCATCCTGCATCGTCTTCCATTCGCTGTTGTACGCTGGTGAAGCTGGACGTGTCACCTGTGCCTCCAGGTGGTGTGGATGGCTCGTTATCTGCTGGAGCTCTCTCTGCTGGAAGGCCAGTGTGTGGTGTTTCTGCCCGTACAGCTGGCTGGAGCAGCCCTCTGCCTGGCCCGCCAAGTTCTACAGGAGTGTTCAACACCAGAGGGAGAGGCTGCGTGGTGCCTGGCTTCCAGCATCCACGTTGGCAGGTGGGTCATTGCTCCATCTTTCTTTGCCACCATGAATGTCTGATCTTAACTTTTTGCAGAGGATCTTTTCACTGACTTTTGCTTTATTTTCCAGTGAGCCTACTCTGCTGAGGATCATGCATATTCTTGCTGGTGCTGCAGCTAAAGCCAGCACACAAGAGACTTGTGCTACATTCATCAAATTTTCATCCGCAGAGACATTACAAGTCAGTAGACACCCAGGTCTAATTAATGCTGCAGGTCTGCTGGGTGCCTGCAGTTGACACGTCTGAGTTGCTTCTCTGCTAAGCTCACACTAGGCTGCCATCACTTGTGAGGAGCTGCAGAGGAGGAGGAGGAAGTCACAAGTGTGAGAAATTCATACTAAATGTTGAAATATTAACATGTTGCTTAAATGGGATTTAGATTTAGCCGCGCATGTGGCAAACTTGTTTTATTGTCTTATCTTGCAGCCAATTTAAAATACTTGAATTATATTGAAATGTATTTGTCTTATTAATTGTGGAGAGTGTGTGGGCTGTCTGTCAAGTTCTTTGAAATATTTTTAATGTAAAATAAAGTCTGCTGCAATGTCTTGATTCCTTTTTAATTTTTTTGAGTCTTTGTTTTTTTTGTTTTGTTTTTTTTTTGCTATAGATTAGCCCCAGTTTATTTAGCATTGATATGTGTATGTTTTAATTTTTTACTTTTGACAATTGTCATGGATTTGGTTTTCACAGGCCTTGGGTTTTCATGTCTGAGAAATAAAACTTGTCTCTTGTTAGATTGACGGGGGGGGAATTGCCCACAGATAAAACCCTGCTCATACATGAATAGATTGTCTTCTGTTAAAGTTTTAACTTGTATTCCTGGTCTGCCTTACATAAGCCATTAAATCACAGGAAATGCAATAAAGGCTCTACCTGCCCTACTGGTTTCTCCTGCAGCCTGACAGCTGTTACAAACATTTGCTTTTTCTTCACCAGGCACATCCCAATAGCCTTTTCAAAACGTGCCTTATGCACCTTAAATGTTTCATCAACCAATCATAAATAAAACAGTTCTTACAAATTTGAATGTTTAATGTAAAGGTATGAACAAAAGAAGGTATGGCTGGAGCTTAACCATATTTTAGAATAGTGTGCTTTAATTTAATGACATTGCATTATTCCAGTTGATGGACATCTGGATTAAATTAATGAAACAAAACGCAGATTGTTAACTGCGTTAAGTGCTCTTTTTAGTGCCACACTGTAAGTGAACTGTTGTCTGTTTGGCTCTTATACTCGTCTCATTGACCAATGAACATTGCGCCCCTTGAAAATTGGCTTGTGTGTCTGCAAGGTGGTAATAACGCTGGAAGTTGGTTGAAGATACATTAGATTTAAATATGCAGCCCAGTATCCTATCTTTTCTTTTTTTTTTTATATAAAACTATTCGTATGAGCCAATGCAGGATCCAGCGACATAACAGAGGTGTAGACAGAAAATTTTAATAGGGGTGACCAGTCAAAAACAACGGGGCAATGATTGGCTAAGGGTGGCCGTGGCCACCTCTGGCCCCCCATCCAGCTCCGCCCCTGCATAACAGGGACATATAGCTAATTTCAAAATAAACAACTGATACGATAAGGAAAAAAGCAACTCCGTGATAAAATGCAAGAATTATAGACAATAACAAACACTATATTTTAATGCAGCAAGTTGTACGAAGAAAAGCTGGCTTTTGTCTTCAAACATTTGACTAACCCAGGAGCTTTATTTTGGAAAATAACCGGATGTAGTTTTGTTAACCTCGCTATATTGATGGCAGTTATTGCGGAATCTCAGCCCGTTTTCGGTCTAGTTTGTTTTTACTTTGCATCATAGCCTGTGACAAAGAAACATGAATTTATTTTATACTGTAGGTCCGATTGTAACAGCTGTAACATGGCGCTGCTGATTGACCCGTCTCTGTTAAACACACCTGAAGGTTGGAAAGAACCATAAGATATCGACCAACACCTAAAGGTAAGTTCAGCACTGCTTTCCTTAAAACAGCTGATTTACCAGCTTTCACTGTTTCTGTCATTAGTAAGCTGTAACTTTTCCCCTTTTTCTAGATTGCAAAGCTCATATTGGGGTTTAAAATGTACATTTTGAGCGTGGTGTATATATTGTCTTTAATATTTGCTGGAGAGTTTATCATTACATAACATAAGAGGTGCAGGAAGGGTAAAAAAAACCGAGCTTAGAGAGTATTGTGGTGCGTTCACGGCGACCAAATCCCTGTGGTTTATTTCAAAACTCTTCGCTTTCAATGAAACGAACTATTTACATGTTTGTGTTTTTAGTTACAGGTGAATGCAGCCCATGACATTTTAAACATTCACGACTTAATATGAGGTCTTTTCTAGTTTTTTTTTTTTGGAGGGGGGGGGTGTTTTTATTTACAACTGTCCTCCTGAAATAAAAAGTATGAAAGGTAGGTCCAGCAGTTAGATGATTTGTTTTGTGAAAGTAAAATAATTGCTTTCAATCATGCAGGGCGAATAAAGGAGGAAAAAAATGCCTTAACTTTTGGAAAAATGATTTGTTTGAGTCTTTTCTTTAATATTTCTGTAGCCCTACTGCCTTTGATTAGACTTGTTACATCCCCAGGCTGCAGTCACAGTAGCTCTTCACCGGAGATGGCAAAAGTACTCACTTTCCGTACTTGAGTAAAAGTACAGATACTTGTGTTAAAAAATACTCTGGTAAAAGGAAGTACTGATTAAACTTCTTTACTCAAGTAAAAGTAACAAAGTACAGGCTTGTAAATTTACTTAAAGTATAAAAGTAGAAACCACTTTTTTCATGCTGTTGCCTACATTTTAAATGGATGTCTGCCAATAGGACTAGATCTCCGTTGTGTTCATTTTCAATCATCTCGACGTCCATGCTACTATGCTAACGCCACCGCCACCAAGCTGCAATGATTTGCCGCAAATGAATACCGCCGAATCTGTCGATTCATCTTGTAGTGGTGCGTCAAATGCAACGTAGATTCCCATCCAATTAGATTGAATTTGGTATTGATGACGTGAAAAATAATAACGGTAACTCCATTGAAATGATTAAAAACTAAAGTAACGAGCCAATTTTTTAAAATGTAAGGAGTAGAAAGTACAGATATTTGTGTAAAAATGTAAGGAGTAGAAGTAAAAAGTCGCCATAAAAATAAGTAGTAAAGTAAAGTAAAAATATCAGAAAAATCTACTTGAGTACAGTAACGAAGTATTTGTACTTCGTTACTTCCTATCTCTGCTCTGCACTGATGACAGTAATTACAGTTACATTACTGCTTAAAATAGAGAAACTGCATCAATCAGATATAAACATCACCAACCCCCTTCCTCTCTCCCAAGTTAAGTTTTTTAAACCATGTATATCCCCCCACCTTGCCACATATTTCAACCATAGGCCTCTGTGTATCAATGAAAATTAAAAAATTTTTGCATTTGTATTCATCACTTTAGGTCGAAACTTTTGTAAAAACCTGGATAAGCTGCAGACGAGAACGAATACCAGGATCTAACTATTTTTTATTATTTTGACGCATGTTACTTCAGTTACATTTAAATTTTTACATACGAAAACACAAACGTTGCCCCTTTTTAAATATATTGAATTATGGCACTTTGGTTTCTCCATACCCCCTGAAGTCCAGTTGATGTTATTCATAGACTTTTTGGGGGACATGCTTCGATTTGAGCAAAAAATGTTTTGCTCTGTACTTTTTTCACATTCACATCAGTTTAGAGCAAATTTAAATGATACCTTATGAGCTGATACTAATTTTAACAGGATACATAACAGATCCCTGACAGAATTAGCTGTTTATTAGCCCACTCAGAGCTACTGCATATTTCTATAAAATTAAAAACATTTAGCATAATGTATAAAGCGACATATTCTCTTTTGCCTCAAACTGTACAAAGTATGTTTCTAGTTAAATCCAATTCATCCTGTCAGAAAAAAACGTAACTTTACTTTCCCTTTTGTCAGAACGACCCAGAAGCAGATGGGTATCTCCATGTTGGAGTCAAACTGTGGAATTCCCTGCTTCTAAATATAGAGAACTCCTCCTCTCTTTATCAATTTAACAAACAATTTAAATTGATAACAATTAAACCTTATACACTGCTATGAAAAATGTAATATAAAAAATAAATATAATTTTGATTTTTTTTGTTTTTGTCAAAACATGACCTGCCTGTGTGGCTTGAAGTTATATTGTAAATTAGAAAAAATGTTATATTTTACGTTTTGTTTTTTGTTTGGAGAAAGGGGCATATATTATAAGCTTTGTCTTCTTCTTGCTCCTTTTCATTCATGTAAGAAACATACAATGTTAGAATAAAAGGGAATTGACATGACAGAAATTTATTTAAAAAAAAATGAAATAGAAATAAAATAACAAATTGAAGTTAGATTTAAAAATCTTTTGGACAGCAAAAAAGTTAACCTCTATTGGAATTTGTCAGTTTGAACTCTTACAGTGGAATATTTGTTTTCAGGATGGAATTTGTCCTGTTAACGCGATACGTGTTGTACTGTTTTGATGTTAGGATTTTATGACTTCCTTTTCTGTCGTCATACTAATCTCAAGTCACCCTTTGAGATAAAAATGAGTACATTCATACATATCTTACTAGCTTGAAGAGAAAAGTTTGAGACATTCTATCAAAAAATCAACAGCAGTGAACATAGCATTAAAGCAAACAGAACTCTGATGTTGGAAATGTATTCAGATCTGCAAATGTCTAAATCAATTATTGGATCGGAAGTGAAAAATATAGATCGGTGCATCCCTAATTTAATGTGCATTGGCATTTGGACAAATTGCTGTTGAAATACCAACAACAAAGCAAACCAGATTAGGTTCAGGTTCACTGCAGAGCACCCAGTGTCATAATTCCAATGAAAGGTGATATTTTCACAACAGACATGTTTACTATTTGATATATCTTCACTGAAGTAATTATGAAGTGTTTGGTTTTGACTTCTACAAAACCAAAAAAAGTTTAAAACTTACTGATTGAAGTTTACCAGCATGCAGCAGACAGTTTGTCTGTTTTTATTTCATGCACAGCTGACAGTCTAAATACCACATATTTTCTTTTAGGGGCCGTCATGCCGAAAGAGCAGCCTCGCTTAAAGGATGGTGATCCCCGTGCACCAACAAGCAAGAACGCTAAAGATAAGAGCAACAGCACCACCATGCTGGCAATTCGTGACGCCAAAGGTGCCGATGGCTCCAACAGAATGGGCTCCAGCTGCAGCTCTGAAAAAGACTCTGGGTATTCTGGTGAGTTGAAGTTACCCTGTGAAGTGTCCATATAGTATTGATAACCCATGTAAAATGATGATAATATACATATATCGGAATCATTTTCTATCAGACATCTGTCTAAAAGATTGATTCTAGACCTTCCCATTGGAGGGTTTTTATTGATATTTTTGAAAAAGCAGACCACTTATGACTGACCCTTTTTTAACTTTGTGACCTAATGAGGTGGAGGCATCATGGCGGACAGAAGTGAGGGACGGTTTGTTTTTTCTGAGTTGCTTTTGCCAGTGTTTATTTCAAGATTTAAAAAATGTCCTTATTAGAAAATGTATCAAATTAGTCTGTTTATTTGTGGTTAAAAAGCACTTAAAATCTGACTCCAAGCGCAGATCAAAAATTGAAAGTTAAGCCCATACTGTATGTCTGATATAGGTTCTACAGGCAATAATTTAACAACCTAAAGATGAA